CAGGGGGACAGCTAAGAAGAGGCTGTTGCAATGATATAGGCACTCACTTATGTATTCAACAAACATTTATTGAAACCATAGAATACATCTGGCACGGCCGGGTGTGGTGACTCACGCCTGTAATCCCAGCACTTTTGGAGGCTGAGGCGGGTGGATCATGAGGTCAAGAGATCGAGACCATCCTGGCCAACACGGTGAAACCCCATCTCTACTAAAAATACAAAAAAATTAACCAGCTGCGGTGGCAGGCACCTGTAATCCCAGCTACTTGGGAGACTGAGGCAGGAGAATCACTTGAACCCAGGAGGCGGAGGTTGTAGTGAGCTGAGATAGTGCCATTGTACTCCAGCCTAGGGAAAAAGACCGAAACTCCACCTCACCAAAAAAAAAAAAAAAAACATCTGGCGCCAAACTTCATGCTGCTGAAGAATAGCAAGATGTGTAAGTTGTGAGCCTTGCCATCAAGGAGTTTATAGTCTAAAAGGAGAGTTTAGACAAGCACACAAATAATTATAACTCAATAAACAATGATTTTTTTAACAGCACAAATAAAGACTACGGAGTTCAGAAAAGGATAAGATCTGCTCTGGCTGAAGCATCAGGAAGGGTTCAAGTAGTACTCTGGATCTGCGTCCTGCCTGCCTCTGCCTCCCTACTCCCCTGCCTCCTCTCTATCACATTATCTTCCATTATTACATCGAATTGTCTTGTTTATTTATTGTTGATTGTCTCTCACTTCCTTCAGTAGAATACAAGCTCCAAGATAATGAGCTAACTTGTTTTGGACACTGCTGTATCCCTAATGCTTCACCTAATATCTGGCACTAACATGGATTTTTTTTTAAAGAAAATTTGGAATGAATGAATAAAGTGTCATCGGCATCAGATCCCATAAGACAAACGGGATTTGGTCATTCAGGAAAAGTTGCGGGGAAAGATATTATTTTAGGTGGAGGGTACATGAAGTCCTACAGGGAAAGGAGAATGAAAGATGGATAATACAGAGTTAAGAAAAACTATTGAGATAACAGAGTGGATGAGATGTGAAGAATAAGACAAGGCAAATGATGATTCCAAAGTTTGTGCCTTTGAAGCATGATAGAATGAAGATTGAGAGAATGGCAGTAGCAAAGAAATTGAGAAGACAAGCCAGTTTGTCTGAAAGTCGTTGACAATAGAAGGCATATCTGTGAGCATTTGTAGAGACTGGATTGAAGTGCACAATCAGGTTTGAACAAAGTGAACTGAGACTCATCAGTGTGAAAAAGATAATAGTAAGTTGGACCAAGCATGGGTTCTCGTGAGGAGAAAGTTCATAAAAAGAAGAGTCCTTGGAAAGGGTGCACAGTCTTGGGAACTGGATGAGAGGAATTAACTGGGCAGATGGGGAAAGACCATTGAAGGGAGTATTTCATGAAAGACGGTCATCAGTGCCCGCTGTCCAGAACTGTGGAAGCTGGAAGTCTTTAGGCTTGTTGAATGGAGGGTAACATCACCTTCAAAGGAATACTTCTTGAAGGATGATGGCAAAAACATATATATATATATATTCAGCTAACTTTTATTCTTTCTGCCCACCATTCTATTAGGGCCAATTGCTAGAATACTAAGAGAATGTTTAAAAATTATTGCTATTAAGTTTTTAATTTTTTCAGTTAAGAAAATAAAATATGCTTATTGTACAGAAAATTTTGATTTCTTTTTCTGTTTTAGTAGAGATTAGGTCTCACCATGTTGTCCAGGCTAGTCTCAAATTCCTGAGCTCAAGTGATCCTCCTGCCTTGGCTTCCCAAACTGCTGGGTTTACTGCCCATTTATTTAATGCCCTCAGCAAACCATATAGGTAAATGTTTCTGCTTTTCAGCTGTTCTTGTTTCTCTGAGTTGTGTATCCTTTCCTCTGACTGCCAGCACCATTGCCACTGGAGCTGTTTTGTCATTCACATTTTCTTCAATTCTAGTGAGGATTTCAAATGTTTATTGGCTATCTGTATAGCTTCTTTTGTGAATTTATTAATAAGGAAGTTTTTCATTTTTATGGACTCAGATACCTATTGCCACATTGCTTGCCAAAAGGGATGATGAGTTTATGCTCTAGTATGTATATATATCTATTTATACTAAAATTATATATAATTATATATAAATAAAAATTATTTTTATAAACTAAAAATATATAATTTTATAAACTAAAAATATATTTTATAAACTAAAAAATTATGTATAGTTTTATAAACTAAAAAATTATACATAATTTCATAAACTAAAAAATTATATATGGGTTTATAAACTAAAAAATTATGTATATAATTTTATAAACTAAAAAATTATGTATATAATTTTATAAACTAAAAAATTATATACATAATTTTTTTCCTTTAGTAAGTCTATGCTCTAGTATAGTGTATATGTGTGTTTGTGTGTGTATATATACTAAAGTATAGACAAGCTAAAAGAAAAAATATATATATTTTTCTTTTTTATGAATTGTCTCATGTCTCTTGCTCATTTAAAATAATATTATTTTCAGGTAGGGATATTGAAAGAAAACAGGCACATTCCTCAGCCCCGGACTCAACACAAACAGGCCCAGTACAAACACATCCCACCATATATCTCTCAACTTCCTGAGCCCAGTACAAACACATCCCACCATATATCTCTCAACTTCCTGAGCCCAGTACAAACACATCCCACCATATATCTCTCAACTTCCTGAGCCCAGTACAAACACATTTCTCAACTCAGAGACTACCATATATCTCAACTTTAGAAAAACACCACCTGGAAAGTCTCCGATAAGGACACAGCCATTCGTGGTTTTACTGAAAGCGTGGGAACCAATAGAAAACTGCTAAATGTATAACTTAAAATGTTAACCAACTGTCGTGCTGTAACCAAAAGAATTCCCTTGTTCCTCTGTAACTTTACGTACCCTATTTACATCGGGCTATAAAAGGCAAGCACTCGCATTGTTCGGGGCCCTCTTGTATGCTGTGGAATGGAGGGACCAAGTTTGAACTTGCAGTAAAAGATCCTTGCCGCTTGGCTTTGACTCTGGACTCTGGTGGTCTTCATTGGGGAACAAATGGTCTGGCCATTACAATATAATTCATGTTTGAGTGTAGAATGAAAAGAGCTGAAAATATTGGAGGGGGAGGGTATATACTTGGATTTTTGGGCTCTGGAAAATGTGAAGGTTGAAGTGGAAGAATACTGAACCTAGAAGGCAGAATGCAATGGGAGATGGAGTATTGGACTGCTTTTTGGCTTCAGGAAACATTGTATGATAACAATTTTATTCTTTCTTGGGTTATGACTAAGCTGGAAGAGCATCATACTTTAATTATAACCTTTTGAAAAAACACAGATAACTAAGATTGTTTTTGTTTTTGATCAGTGTCTGAAGGGGTGGCCTGCCCCTCCACACCTGTGGGTGTTTCTCGTTAGGTGGAAAGAGAGACTTGAGAAAAGAAATAAGACACAGAGACAAAGTATAGAGGAAGAAAAAGTGGGCCCAGGGGACCGGTGCTCAGCTTACAGAGGATCCACGACGGCACCGGTCTCTGAGTTCCCTTAGTATTTATTGATGATTATCTTTACCATCTTAAAGATAAGGGAGTGGCAGGACAATAGGATCATTGTAGGGAGGAAATCGGCAGTAAGACATATGAACAAAAACCTCTGTGACATGAATAAGTTTAAAGGAAAATGCTGTGCCTTGAGATGCATATGCAAACATCTCCATAAACCTTTTAGCATTATTTCAGCCTATCACATGGGGAGAAACCTTGGACAATACCTAGCTTTCCTAGGCAGAGGTCCCTGCGACCTTTGGCTGTGTCCATGTACGTGTCCCTGGGTAGTTGAAATTAAGAGAATGGTGATGACTTTTAACCAGCAAGCTGCCTTCAGGCACTTGTTTAACAAAGACACATCCTGTACAGCCCAAAATCTATTAAACCTTGAGTCACCGCAGCACATGTCTCTTGCAAGGACAAGGTTGGGGGTAGGGTCACAGATTAATAGCATCTCAAATACAGAACAAAATGGAGTCTCTTATGTCTACTTCTTTCTATATAGGTGCAGTAACAGGCTGATCTCTCTTTCTTTTCCCCACAAGTGTCTCCAAGGCAAGATGGAGAATCAAGGGGAGAAAAGATGAACCAATAAAAGAAATTGATCATCAGGTTGTTTAATTATCAATTTTAATTTAATGCCCTCATCAAACCATATAGGTAAACACTTAGTAGACTCACTGGATGGTCAGTTACAAGAGCTTCTTATAAAATCAAACGTACTTTAGATTTGTGTTCTCTCTCATAATTATTCTGATTGTTTATTTGAGCCAAAAGCTATGATAAGTTTGCATAAGGAGTGGGATTTAATAAAAATTTGTTGGATGAGTAGTTGAATGAATGAATCCATGGTAATAGATTCAGCTGCACCTGAACATGAGCAAAGAATCATAAATTTACTTTAATCAAGTGCTAGAAAATCATAATTAAGTTACAGTGTTGTCTACAATTATTTTGAAGGATAAATTTTAGGATGAACTTGAAATACTTCTAGGAAATGTCATGAAGCAGAGTAATCTATATCTATGAATTAATATTTTATGATTATGAGATAGCATTGCAGAGTCTCATAATTTCCTACTGTTCCATTTTAAATTCAATGAATCAGTTGGAAAAACTGGCACCTGCTAAAGATATGGAAGGAATTTTTCTATTTTTAATGACAGGTACATTGAGGTAAATTGTCTCATGACAAAGTCCATTTTGACACTTGGAAGTAGCAGTGTTTGGTAGGAGTTTTACTGACTGTATTTGTTCAGATGTTTCTTTAGTGGTGGCTTCCACTGCTGAGTACTTTATTATTTGCTCTTGTAGAAATTTAGGAAGAAAATTTAAAAGATTGTTAATCTGCATCTGAATGTGTACACATGAATATTGAGGATGATTGGGAGAGAAATCAGGCTCATGTTGAGATGATAATGATTCATTGCTTTGTGGTGCTTGCCTCCCTTTGTGGTACCAGCCTCTCTCTCTGAGGGTGACCCTGCTTATCTTCCAAGGCCTGGGGAACTGGTGCACCAGCAGGACTCTCATCAAGTGGAAGTCCCCTGGTATATGGTTGTGATGCTTGGCTGTAGTTGAAAAAGAGAGAAAAATCTGAGGTCTCACTGGTGTGGGATACACTACAAAGCTCTGGGTCTGATGCCTGGGCTATCTGAACTTGCTTTCAATGGTCCTCTTGGGTTATGTTTGTTTGCTGCAGCATCTTCTCCTGTAGGTACTGGTATAGTGGACTGGAATGGACGGCACCCCTCTCCACAGAACAGGGCTCTTGGTCTCTCTGCACCTGCTTTTCAAAATTTGGCCAGGGGACTGAAGAATTGTGCTCTTTCTTGGCTGGGCTTTTTTGGTCACTACTTTCTCCTGCCAGCTCTTGGGGACTTTCATCTTCCTCCTCAGATGTTACAGTTTCCTTTGTTTCAAGTTGTATCTTGTGGGAGGCTGAATTGTCCTCATCCAGACTTTTTAACATAGTGTTCTGGGCATCTGTTGCTCTACCTTTCTCTTCTTTGCTACTTGGGCCTTGGACCTTTAATTCATTTCTGCTATCTCCCTTTCCAGGGAGCTGCATTAGGGAAAGCTGGTCAGTGAAGTCTTCATCCAGGGCACCTGTGATCTCTATTTCCAGGGACTTTCTGTTTTCATCTCCTGCTGTGGATTCCTGTGCTTCTGGGTGTCCACTGGGCTCCACATCTGCACCTGGGCCTTTGGTCCCTGGGCCTTGATACTTGTGTTCTCCTCTGGAAGGCTGTTCCTGGTCCTCTGTGAGCTGTACATCCTCTCCTCTGACTGCCGGCACCACTGCCTCCTGAGCTCTGTTTTTCTCACCAGGTGTTTCCTGCCTCTGGGTATCTGGGTTATTATTGTGACCTCCTTGCACAGACTCTCCATGTGGGTCCCCTTGACTCTTGGAGGCCCCTTGCACAGGCAGTTCACCTGTCTCTGAGCTGCTGTTATCTTCCGCTGAAGCCAGGCTACTGGGAGTTTCAGAAGACCCCTCATCATTCTGTGTGAATGGTGACTCAGGGTCCTCCCCCTGGTAACCATCCTCCTCCTCAACTGGTTTGTCATGAGTCTTGGTGACCCTACTATTTTCTCCTGCAGACTGCTTCTCAAGTGGTGCTAAATCTTGTGTGCTTTCTCTTGCCCCCAGTGTCCTTGCTGCTGCAAGTGCATTTTTGCTGTTCACAAATGCTTCTGTTGTGCCTTCTTTGGTGTGTTCTGCCTCTTCTGAGACTGCCGTTCCTTCAAGTTCAGGGTGAGTCTGATCTCCTCCTTCTGAGCTTAGATATTGTGTCTCAGAACCCTTTTCAGCATCTTTTGATTTTGATAATCCTTGGAATTCCTGATACTGCCCATCCCGTGTTTGGGTTTCCAGGACTAGTGGCCGAGCTTTTCTGTCACGTTCTTTCTGCCCTGCTGTTTCATGGGTCTCAGGGCCTCTCCTCTCTTTCCTTTCATCTCTCATGTCAGATGTTTCCGAACCATTTCTGCTACCACCTTGGACTGGCAGGTCCTTTGTTTCACTTTCTTTTTCTTGGGTCTCAGATGTTCTGCCATAATCCTCAAGTTCACCCGAATTCTTTGTCTCAGCTGGTGTCTGGTCAGCATCCTTTCCTGGTTCTTGAGTGTCAAATGTTCTACAGATATCCTTGGGATCAGTTGATTTCTGTGTCTGAGATAGTGTCCTGGCAGCAGCTTGTTCTGGCAGGTCAGCATGCTCTGAACTGGGTTCATCTTCTCCTTGCAGGGGTGGTTCTTGTGTATTGGAGTATTTCTCCTTTTCTGTTCTAACTTCCTGATCTTCAGATGGTCTTTGTGTTGCTTCTTCTGGTGGTGAATTTTGGGTTTCCAAGTTTCCTTCTTGTTCTCCAAACTGGTCTCTTATCTTGGAGACACTTTGCTCTCTGACTGGTTCATCTCCCTCCCGGGAGATCTTCTTTTCTTGTCCTTTCCTCTTTGTGGGACTACTGGTCTGTTTTGATCCTGCCATTGGCTTATTTGTCTTAAGTTGGCCTTCATTGTCTTCTGTTGTTTGTACATCTTGGGCCACTTCCTGAATCTGTTCATCTCCTTTCAGGTGTTGGTTCTTAGGGTCATTGTATTCAGATGCTTCTCCTGGAAAGTTGTGAGTCTTGGCTTCTCTCCATGGGTCCACTCTGTTGTTTCCAACTGCTCCACTTTCTTCAGGCATGAGCTGAGATAATGATGCCATTCCTGAAGAAAGCATCCTCTCTTCTTGAGTTGGTGAAGTTCCCGCTGTCCACTGACCATCTCCAGTGGTTGCCTGAAGATCCACATCATCTGGCTTCTCCTTCTCTGGTTTAGTCACCTGTCTTAGTTCTGAACTTAGTAACAATTGTATGTCAAGATAACAGAGGTTCAACAAGTTGAAGATTGCAAGAACAAATTCATCAAAACTGATGATGCCATTACTGTCAATATTCAGAAGATTTGAATTTTTTTCCACAGCATGAAGGACACATGGCTGCATGAAAACACAGTGAGAAATCAGCTTATTTATATGTGGTCCAGTGTCCTAAGAGTCTCCCAAGAATCCTATTTTTCTGACCCCATTCCTCAGTAACTGGTTAACTTTCCCAGAATAGCAAGAATTTATTGGTTCTGCATGCCATTTTTCATCAGAGAGCTATGCCTGAGAAAGAGCATTTACAACACTTGTGAGTTGCATTTTGATGTATAATGGTTTGTGACTCCTTTCAGAAGTTGGCTTTGTGGAAGCAATAATCCCAGTAATGAAAACCTCTTTTTTCTCTAAGCAATTGAACAGAGTAGGGAATTGAGACTGAAAATAGTTGTTCAAGAGACAGTGAGTGCTGAGAACTGTTAGCTAGGTGTAAAATGGCTGGGGATCACATATGCTTATCTTGCTTGGATTATAAAGAAAGGGTGAGTGGGAAAGAATTTCCACAGCTCTGTGAGCAGCTCACCTGAAAAAAGTCCCCAAACTCGCCCTGGAGGAGTTGTTTCAGCTCTCTGCCAGTCAGTGTGGCCCCGTTACTGTCCTCACTGGCATATTTGTGGAATGTCTCAATTACAGAGAGGACATCTCTCAGGAGCCGAGGCATCTTTACAAACTCAGGAGAGGCTGTGAGAAAGAATAAACAAAGCTCATTTTCCAGGATGGGTCCCTCAGGAAGGAGATACCAAAATCATCCTTTTTGTTCCTCCCCCATCTCCACTGCAACCCCTGCTCTATTCTGTATCTTAAAATATTATATCTGAACTCCAGGGGTGATTTAGTTTTGTACCAGACATTGTGGTGAGATCAGATCCAGCATAGGTAGGTATTATAAGAGACAATTCACCCCAGCCTTCAGTAAATAGCAACATTCATGTGCTCAGAGAAAGCTTCATTGCAAAAGGAAGGTGATAAGGTAACTCAAGCATAAGGATTGAAATGCACAAATGAAGCCAATAGAGTTGGACCCATTCTTCCAGCCTCATCCAAGAGTGTCTATCTGCTTTCCTCTCCCTTTGGCTCAGTCTAGCCTTCTCTGGTTAGGAGGATATAACCTTTAAAGTTAGTAAAGTTTCTAGTGGAAAGAGAAGTCACACTAAGAAAATTAACCCCTATGTTTGCAGGTGGTAACAACATGCTTTAACCAAGAAGACACGATTCCATGTCCCGATCCCTTCATTTCCCATCCTTTAAATGCTTCTACATTTTCATTGCAATAGAGATCTGATCCTGTGCCTTGTTGAATAATATTCATGCCTATGACGTCCAAACAATTTATTTTTTTTTGAAAAAGAAAATGATCAAAGAAGTTCCATAAGCAAGGAATGCATTTGGGTGGCTGGCGCTCCCAGTTTATTATTATTAATAAGGGTTGACATAGATTTAAAGTGTGTTTCCTCTGAAATCCTCTTGCAATCTCACATATAAGCAAAACAGCAGATGAAATCCCAAGTATGCTCAAGCAGATGGACTTACCTAGTTCACAAACGAGAGCAGGTAGAACGTAGGGCAGCGGGCTGTGATCTGACAGCAGTAGCTGGAACCTTTTATTGAGGTCCTAATTGCACAGTTAAGAAGGAGACACCCTCTGGGTCTGATGACCTGACATCACCACCAAATCCAGTCTCCCTTCCTCTGTTGTCAGTTGTCTTAATTTTATTTCCTTCTTTAGGCAGTTTCAATTAAATCTTAGCTTCAGATGCATCAAAAGAAAGGGGAAGGGGTTTCTTGATTCATTTACTGACTTTTGCAGATTATAGTTTTGAAGGCTCTTCAAGGTAGTGTTGGCTTCCCTCCCCCATTTTTCAACCTAAGGACATAATTACATTTCTGTCTGACAAATCATAGTGCTGGCAGGGACCTCATAAGTCATCTGATTACTCTGTCTGCCCACAGGATGGCCTGTATTTGACCCAACCCTGAGAGAGGGGTATCAATCAAGTGTTTAAAAATAAAGGCCCCCATTTAGCCATGTGACAAAAGTGGAGACAACAGTTGATTCAGATGTTTCAATGCTCTGCTCTCCTTGCCCAGAGGCAGAGTTAGGAAAAAAAAAATCTCTTGGTTGATGTACAAAACCTTGCTTATCTAAGATGTTCTATTTTAAAAATGTGATTGATATTTGCTTTTTAAAGACACCTTTACTATCCAAGGAACTTGGAACCGATAATCTACATCACTGTGTTCTCCCTGTAAAGGGGAAAGGGAGATGTTGAAATCATCAAGCTGAGAACAGAAGTGAGTCTGAGATGCTGAACTGGCAAACATTTTAATTGTCTCCTAGATCTGCATCCTTCTTGGTAGAGAATATTTAATAAAAATAAGAATTAGATTCAATGGTTTTCTTAGATATTTTTTAAAAATAGCGTATGTTTTAAAACACCCTTGCCTCCCTGTCAAGGGATGAAAGAAATAGACAGATCAATGCAAACAAATATAAAAGACACAGACCAAGTTAAAGATGGGGTGGGAATGGGGGTAATTATACGAGAAAGCTGAAGCTAAGGGAAGCATTACTATTTAGCAAAAACCTTATTCTGAATTTCCTGATTATCAAGGAACATACGAGGGAACTAAATTTTGGAGAAAAACATCCATACTGATAATTTACACCTATAAACAATTTCTCAGCATCCCCCTCAAAGGGAGAAGACTTCGGGGAATTGGAATTGGCATGTGAAGGTCATCTTAGTTCTGATTGGTTAATGTCCCCTGAGTACCAACTATTTCTCAACACTATGCCAGGAACTGAAGTGTTTAGAGTTGAGTAAGTTATATCTTCCTGCCCTGGAGCTCATGGGCCAGTCTCATGAAGAACTGGGTATATTCAAGGCTGGATTGGAAAGAAACACTTATGGGAGACATAATAACTGTCTTCAAATACTTGAAGGACTTTTATAGGTGTGGAAGAGAAAGGAATTAATGTTTATTGAACACTTATGACATGTCAGGAGCTTTACATGGGCTATCTTAATCCTCACAGCCCTTTTAGGTAGTTATTATCCTCTTTTAACAGATAAGGAAGTTAAGGCTTTTAGCTGTTAAGCAGTTTACCTACAGACGTGTACTTTTACTAGGTAATGGCAGATCCAGGATTCAGAAATGAAATGTCTCAAGAAAGTATGTCTCAGAGCCCATAGTTTTTTTCATTACCTTGAGTTTCTTATTTGTGTAATGCCAGGTAATACAGCTGGAATCAATGCTTAAAACTTTCTAAAAAGCAGACTCTATCTCTTAAGAACTTTCTAGGGAGCAGAGTTGTCTGACAATGACTTGGGCCACTACTAGAGCAATAAAGTGTTCCTACAGAGGCTGAATCATGATCTGTTGGCTAGGTTTTGGGAGAAGTCTTGCCATGGGAAGGCGTAAGACAGGAGTGGCTTACTGTGAAGGGTACAGAACTCTTTCAATTTTAAATGTCTCTGGTTTTATGTTACAGTTTCTATTTAGGAAGTTAGAGTTGGATCTTGCCTTGCCTCTAAACAGTGGCTCTGTAACTGTTTTATAGGCATTCCTGCTTTTTTAGTCCTTACTCAAGACCATTTAATTAATACCCATACTCTGGGTGCATGGTAACTAAGAGGGATGGCCACAGGAGGAAAGAGATTGCTCTCTGTCCAGTGCTTAAAAAAAAGTATTTGGATTGCTGTACAAAAAGCCACAAACAACTCAACCATTACCAAAGAGAAGATCTTGTTTGCCCTTTCTTCTCCTTCAAAACAGATCCCTCTAATAGCCCTGTCTAATTTTATATGGGGATAGTATAGAAAGGAAGAGGTGAGGCGGGATTGGAGGCTGAGGGAGAAGAACACAACAAAAATATGTTGATTAATATAGAACTATCTTTAAGAGCCAATTATTCTTCAAAGGTCACAACTGAAGTCTTGAATGAGGGCTTTAGATAAAACCTATGATGGCTACTTTGAAAAGAAATGGCTAATAAAACAATTTTTAATGATTATAATACTGGAAAATTTGGCAAGCAAAAAAAGAGGGCTGCAGCTTATACTTATATTTTCATTATCTTTTTTACTTATAGAAGTAACAGAAGTTTGTTCAAGATGATGATGAACTAAAAAATGTATATTCTAAAGTCCCTAAACCTTCTAAAAGGATCAATATACAGAAAGAAAAAAATAAACTGAAATTATGAACAGAAATAAAGGAGAATCGTAACTGAGTAAGAGATTTCAATAAATTTATGGAAAATGGAAAGTGGATGGTAGAATGTTCATGACTGAAATAAGTGGAGAAAGCCTCATCCCAGAATGTATTATGAGGGCATGGCAGAGGTGAAGGCAAATCTGAACCTGGAAAAGCACTGGGCTCAGAATTAGCAGGTATGATGGAAGTATGAATGAGAAGTGGGGCTGTAAACAGGCACAGTAGTTGAAGGTTTGTATAAGGGATTCTGTCTCAGTGGTCATTCCCGTCTCCCTGTTCCACTTTATAGCGTAGAGCATAGATATATGGGCATCTACTTTCTAATCTCTCTAGCAAAATTCCACATGACTCTTTCCTAAAGAAATTGGACAAACTTCTTACAAATACTAAATGTAAGTTCCTTGAGGGCAGGACTCTGTGTGCTTTATTTTCCACTTTATCTTCAGAAGTTAGGAGAGTACCTGGACTGTAGTAGGTGCTCTGTCAGTATTTGTTGACCAACTAATAGACTGTCTGAAAGACATCTAGTATTAATATTGTTGCTACAGGAAAACCTGCTTTATGATAACATTTAGAGGTAGGGGAAGTTTGCAGCCTGATAGCCATTTACTTGCAAATTGAAAGACTTTTTCCCCAAACCTGCCACAAAATTCCCACTGAGTGTAAAAATGGTCCTATTTATGCAAATCAGGAAAAACCAGATCTTTTTATTAATATAAATGGGCAACTAAGACTATTTAAGCATATGAATAAGTCAACAGTTGGAAAGAGAAAGAACAATATTATGCTTAAGAAAACTGACCCTAGAGGAAATAGAAGTAATTCAGATAACAAAAGAAAAATTAAAAAACTCTAATTAATATTTTTAATTCTTTGAGGAGCTTCCATACTGTTTTCCACAATGATGGTACCACTTTACATTTTTACCAACGTGTATGAGGGTTCCCTTTTCTTCATGCCCTTACCAAAACTTGTTGTCTTTTGTCTTTTTGATACTAGCCATTTAAAAAGGTGTGAGGTGATATCTTATTGTGGTTTTAATTTGCAATTACCTGATTAGTGATGTTGAGCATTTTTTTCAAATAACCTGTTAGCTATTTGTATATCTTCTTTTGAGAAATGTCTATTCAGGTCCTTTGCCCATTTTTAAATTGGATTGTTTACTTGCTATTGAGTTATTTGAGTTCCTTATATATTTTGTATATTAACCCCTAGCATTCTACTTCTGGCTATATATCCTAAGGAAATGTAATAAGTATATCAAAGAGATATCCACACTCCCATGTTCACTGTGGCACACTATTCACAATAGCCAAGATATGGACTCAACCTAAGTGTCCATCAATGGATGAATAAAGAAAATGTGATATATATACACACACACACACACACACACACACACACACACACACACAATGGAATAACTATTCAGCCTTTAAAAGG